GGTCCGGACTGTGCCGGCCCCAGACAGCCCTGTGGGGGCTGCGAATGGCTGCAGCAGGGAGTGCCAGCCATGGGGCGGGTGAGGTCCCGTCCCCACCCCCGCACCACCTTGTAACCTGGCCTCACTGCCAGCCTGGGCCCCATGCTGGCTCCAGGCTTGCCCGTCGGGGCTGCGCATGGCGACAGCAGCTGCGGCCCCCACTGCTTGCCGCACCGGGCAGTGTTTGCCGCTGCCACCTGTGGGCTGCCCAGCACATAAGCTTCAGGTGGGCAGCAGCAGCCAACACTGCCTAGCAGCTAACACTGCCACACTTGGGGGGGCCACAGCCGCTGCGCACAGCCCCGATGGGCAAGCCCAGAGCTGGCACAGGGCCCAGGCTGGCAGCAGGGCTGGGTTACAAGCTGGTGCTGAGCACGGGGAAAAGCGGCCCCTCACTTGCCCCATGCTATAGCCTCTTGCAGCCCATGTGGGGCTGCCTGTGCCTGCTCCATAGCCCCACGTGGGCTGCAAGCACCTGTAGCAGGGAGCACTGGCCGCAGGGTGGGTGAGGGGCCGCTTTTCCCTGCGCCCAGCAACAGCTCCTTGGCTGTGTGCTGCCCCATGCCTGTACCACGGGGCTGGGGGGCACTGGGAGTGCGCGGGCAGGGAGCTGGTGGGAGCACAGGGTGTCCCGAGGCCAGTGCCGGTGGGGACCAGAACAGGGTGGCAGGAGCATGGGGTCCCAGCTGGCAGGGGCTCTGTGGAGCTGGGCCAGCTCCCCCCTCTCCCTGCTGGTGCAGCCCAGCCTGGCTCCACAGACCCCTGCCAGCCTGTGTCCCGCTTTGGGTCCCACCGGTGCTGGCCCTGGGTCATTGGTCCCAAGATGGTGACCAGGGGGTGGGGCACCTGTCAAGAGGTGGGGATACCCATGTGGCCCTCGACAGCCTGCCAAAACTGGGTAAGCGGCCCTCCGCCTGAAATAATTGCCCACCACTGTCTTAGCTGGTTTGTGTATTCATACACTTAACTGAAAGGTCTGTGATTGAAAAGAAGAACAAAAAGGTATCCATGGATACTTACCATCTGAATCAATGCTGTTAAGAGCAGTGGGAGGGATGACAGATACTTTACAGAGGCCAAGGGGACACTTGTTTGGTAATACATCTTTACATGTGGTGTGTACCTGAAACAAAAGAAATGGGTTCAGATAAATCCTTCTAGGTACTTTGATTATGTAGATGACTCTCCCACTCTGAAAACGTGACCCAAACAACCAGGAAGCGTGGGAAGAAGCCAAAGAAATGAAAACCTATAGTATTAAGTCACCAAGTTATTTTTTAAAAGCCACCTAAGCAAGCAAATGGCACTCAGAGCTTGTTCATCTGGCTAATTCTTCTCAGCATACATATGATGCCTTGCTTTACAGGATTACCCAGCACACAGCAACCTGGCTACTTACAGGCCATTACAACAGGGTTCGCAGACACAGGACTAACTCATGTCCCCTGTCCTAATTCCATTGACTGCATGAGAGAAACAAAATTTTGGGGGGGGCCCAAAAATCAGGTTGTTCAGGTTCCTGACTATGGATCAAGGTGTGCTGCCCAGTTCTCCATATGGTGTTAAAGTAGGGACCTCGAAAGCAGCTTAAGAGGATAAAGCCTGGAACACACGTGAATGAAGGAACAAGGATACTAGAGGAAGTAGGCAGAATAATAAAGCATGTGTGCAGCTGGGAGTTAACAAGATAACATACCTAAGATAAGATACGCAACAAGATAAGACCCAGGGAGTGGGTATAAAATGGCCTGCAATGGTAAATAACAATTGAGCCAATGCCTTTTTTTTTTGCTCCTTTTGGGTGGACAAGGACAGCCTAACAGAACGTCTGTTATAAGCAAACCCATTAGATAAATTAGAAAGGTACATTTTGCTGGTTTTCCTTCTTAATACCCTTGAAACACCTGGAGTACTAGCAGACCAGGTTCTTTGGGTAGATATGATATCTTTTATTAGACCGAGTAGTTGGAAAAAAGTTCTTGGCAAGCTTTTGGGCACAATCACCCTTCTTCGGGCATAGGGGTTCTCTGCTGTTCCAAGATCTGCAAGGATCTACTTGGATCCTTGTACTTGGGGTCTAACAGGCTTTATGGCCTCTAGGTATCAAGCAAGTTAAGCCTGCTGAATTAGGAGAAGAAATGTTATTTTTATTCACATATTTTAATAGTCCCTGCTTTCTCCCTTGTTTCTATTGACACTTAAGTTGCCAAATTATAGAGTGGTTGGTTGAAGAACCATCACCACTCATGCCTATGATTAGGTGCTCGATACACATTGGATTTTTTCGAGAAAGGCCATCAGCAAATGAAAGAATACGAACTTTAATAGTCCAGGTGTTTCTAAGTACAGGAAGAAAAAAAATCCTGTGGTACCACTGGATGTGAAAAATATTTCTAGGCTTTATTTATGCACCACAGTGAAGCAATTAGCCGTGTTTCTTCCTCTTCACAGACTGTCTATAATGTGAAGGAAAAAACCCCAGTGATGCACGTAAACAAGAGCATGGCTTAAATTTCCATTTCAAACAAAAAGCAGTAGCAGACAAGACACAAAGGCCCACATACACTGAAAGGAGACAACTTTTAGAGAGGGTCATGATGTTTATTTAGCTCACGCACCATGGCTTTGCACCAGAGGCAGCGCCAGTCTTGCAAGCGCAGAACACTGCCACAGGTTTTATCGCACACTGTGCATTTGGCACTCACAGGGAGGTTTCCTTCCAGCCACTGATGTGGCATTGAGATCTGTAATCCAAGCAGAGAAGAAATAAGTACAGGCTTTCCAGAACACAAGTCAGAGAACACAAAGCAGAATAGGCGGGACTGGAGCATGCAAAGATGCAATTTTTCATTCTGCATGAGGTTGGCAAGGGCACTCTCTAGGAACTATCTGCCTCTCTCTGGTACTTACTGAGGCACAGAAAGGCTACAGGGCTTCCCCAAGATCACACAGGAAGTCTGTGGCAGGGAAGAAACTACAATCAGGTCTCCCACATTCTAAATTTATGCACAAGCCACCGAATTGCCCAACCTTTACCAAGAGTATGAAAAGGCTCCCTGCACCTGAAAATGCTTTAAACTCAAAACTCTGCATCTTTAAGGTCCATAGCCCAAAAGGAGTCTCAGAGTGACAGGATTCTCTGTTGGTAAAAGGTAACTAAAATCGACAGGACTCTCTGAACTGACCACTGTTCTTTGACACTAGGTGGTTTTATATACCATATGCATGTAAAAGCAAAACCTTTTAGTTCCACAGTAAGTGAATACTACAGAGTGCTCGCCAGCCCTGGGACATACAGATCCATTTAATTTTTCCAAATCAGGACTCAGGGAATGAAAGCTGGAAGCAGCTCCAGCCATCCCAACCTGAAACTTTAACCATGTATACAGTAGGGGGAGAAGCATACGCAAAGCAGGCTCCCCACTGCCAGGTGCTCCAAGCCAGAGAGCTCAGGATGATACATACCCCATCTTCTTCCTCAATGATATCTTTCCCGATAGAGGCCAGTGTTGTCCATTTGCAGTTATTGGTTGCCCGAACAGCACACCGTTTGTGGGCTTTGAACTTACACACTACAGAAGAAGAACAATAACAAGAAGAAGAATTCATTCTCATGCAAAAGGGATAATGCAGCAGTACAAGCAAATGGCTCCATGAGCAGCAAAATGCAGTTACAGTATCTGGCTCTGAAAGACAGCACATCCACTGCCTTTGTTAGCAAAGCTAAAACAATCAGATCCAAAGCCACCAAATCAATTAGTTAAGCAGGCTGCCTTTTGATTGTACAGGTATTAGTTACCACCTTGTATGCCAGCAATATGTACACTAATATGCTTCAGCATTCCCACAGGCATTACTGGTGTTGATTTGTCCCTGCCAGAATGAGCTGTGAGAAGCCAAGCATGTCTGCTGTGCCAAAGCCGAGAAAGAAAGAATAGCCATCTGAAGTTCAAATGCTTAAATGCATTTGTTCCTGGGAGAAATACTTTTATCTGATGCTTCAAAAATATATATGTCCATACTTCGCGCTTGTAGGGTTTTATTAGTATATAGCAATAATTTGGGAGTATGAAAGTAAGTGCCACACCAGATTCTAACCAGCATTAACACTGTATTTTCTCACAAGCCACATGCACCCCTCCCAAATAAAACATACACCTTGTTTTTGGGAAGGCAAAATGAAGGGAAAAAAGATGCTTTCTGGAGTTATGACTGCACAGAGCAGGGATAGAATCTAATTTGCAGCTCACTCTCCCTCCCTTTCCTATTTAAACACAAGCTGAAACCCTAGCTGCTGCTGAAGACTGGTCTCCATGAGTGGGTTTATGATTCTGAAAAGAGGTGCGAAGCAGTGAAATAGAAGAGAGAACAGAAGTGGCTAAAAGAGCAAAACTGTCAGAAGGAAGTGGAACATCAAGATAATTAAAAAGGAGAGATGACCATGAATACCTGTGAAGAACCATGAGCCTGTAAGTCAACTGACTCCCTCAGCTGCCCAAATAGAAATGCTGCTGCAAGCAGGAATCAAAGCAGATCTTCCATCTAGCGAAGGTAGAAGATCAAATTCCCTTCTTAAGATGAGTACCCCAATTTTGGGGGGCTCATTTTTGGGGAAAAGGTGTGTGTGGTAAGTAAATATGGTACTATGTCCTTTCCAGCATCTTTGGATAACTATATAGGTACCTGCTTCTGTTTTCCTTGTGCATCCCCAAATCCCCCATGAAACCATCAGGAACTTGAAAGCAAAAGAAAAGTAAGACCAAGCCTGTAAAAAAAGTTCTGCTCTGACCTTCTGTAACTTTCCTATGCCCATTTGGTGCCATTTTTCCTCTGCACCCTTCTATAAACTGTACATAAGAGTATGGTTATTTAAAATGATCTTTGGAACATGCCAGTAAGTCACCCTGGTGACATGCCAAGTGCAAGACAATGAAGTGCTTTTACCTTCACAAGAGAGTCCATGTGATGTAACCCCTGATAATGCTTCTCGGCACACATTGCAGTATGTTGGCCGAGCGTGTGAGCAGGCATACCAGTTATGCATCCCTGAGAAATGGTCCATGCTGTACTGGGTTGACTGTTGAAAAAAACATTACAGAAGCACGGAAGGTGGAAGTTTAGTTTTTCTAAAAGAGAGGCTTGAACATATCAGATACAAAAAGCAGAAATGGAACATCTTTCACAGAGGAGGGGGCAGCAAATTAATCTATCCAAAGGGTTGGACTAAATGACCCTTCTGGCCTATTGTATACACACTAAATAGGCTGCACGCAGAGTACAAGGAGTAAGGTTGCTAAAAGTACAACAGGTGGATATTCTGGATGATGCTGAATATCAGGCAGGTGAGATTCAAGTCAGATGATGATTCAGAGACATTATACCAGCGAAGGGACCAAGAGTGCAAGGTTCTCAACCCCAAGGGAATGCGCAGAGTGACTAGGGCTATCAAGAAAAGAGTCACTTAAAAGAGGTTGTTGTATACAAGCAGCATTTCAGAGATTTTTTAGGTAAAGCCTAAACTACTGCTCACTGCAGTCAATCAAAGCCCTTGTATTAACTTCCAAGCGGAGCTGGATCAAATTCGTAAAGTAAGATGTAAGTATGGGCCAGGCTGCACAGAGAACTGAGGGTGAATAAGAGAAGTTATTTTATTACCTCAAAATGTTCCCTGTTCTGCACAGTCTTCAGTGCTGCAATCCAATCTTCCATCTCTTTTCTGTTATCAGCACAGAGGATGAGCTTCCGACATGGAGTGATAATCTGCAAGAAGAGAGAAAGAATGCTCGAGTTGCAGAAAACTGAGTAAGGAACAAGTTTTTCCATGGAGAAGTAATAACTTTTATTACAGGAAATTAAAGAGAACTGTCTGTAGAGAACTGCCTCGAATCAGCTGCATAACTGAGCAAAGGCTGTTTACATTATTAAACGGTATTTTCAGAATTTTGAAAGCCAACCTTACATTTTCAGTAGAGTTTAGGTAGGTAAAGAGCTCAATAATTAGATTTTGAAAAAAAAGCACTGGATAGTCATCCAAAGAACCCACAACAGAAAAGTCAATTGTTGAACAGTAGTGGGAAAGTCACAAGTTTGACTACGGTGTGTTTTTTTTAAACAATTTTTTCCCCAATTTTTCACATTAATAACAAATCAATTTCTATCCTTATTTTGTCTTCATGTGAACATGCCCAGTTTTGCTCACTAACACTCCCAGGAAAAACATGTGGTTAACTGAAGTTAAGGCTATAAAGATCTATTATTTAGGATAGGAGTGTCAGATTCACTCTGTGCCCTGGGCTTGATCCAGCCTACAGGGCTCCTTGCAGGTCAGATATGGGCCTGGTAGCAGTGGGGCAAGTGGTGGAAGTGGCAAGGCCAAGGTAAATGGCAAGCCAAGCAGTCACAGGGTGAGCAGAGCTGATGACACAGCCCTTGCTTGTCCCTCTGCCACCAACAGCCATGCCCAACAGGCCCTGTAGCCCTGGATTCTGTGGCAGGCCTCACCTCCAAATTCCCTGGCCTGCCAGAAAGAGCTCTGCAGGCTTGAATTCAGTCCATGGATTGAATGTTTGATGCCTCTGACTTAAAAGATGGAAGACCACATCAAAGCAAGAAGACAATGCCACTCAACAGCAATGCACATTTTGTCACTGCCAATGAAGTTAAAAAAGTCAAAACTGCCTCACTTCTACTGACACCCTGGTCCCTAAGCCTCCACTTCATATGGTTTCTTGCTTAGTCTCTCTTATCATGCTCTTTTGCAATGGGAACATGTGAACTTTTTAAACTCTGCAATGCTTAACGTGTATGCAGAAACTGCTTTAAAAACCACTGACAATGGCCCTCCCAAACTAATCAAAGACATCAGTCCTTGCCAAAACTAACAGATTTAAACAAGTAAATCCATCTGGGAGTCATGACAAGTCAGAATAAATAAATAACAAGAAAGTATTACAGACATGAGATCACCTTATTCTACATTTGACCCTCCTGTCTCATGAAGGCCTGATCTCATTTGTCATTACCCAACGATTGTGTGCGCGCTTTGGCACTGCAGAATTATTTCCCGCCACGTGGAGCTTTCTTTGCACGGTGCAATTCTCAGCTGCAGAGAGAAAACCCCGGTGCAAAGGAGTTCCCGCCGCTCGCATGTAAATTTGTTCCCCATTATTGACTGTTTCTAAATTATTCCCACGTGGCGGCTAGCGATTGGGTTTGTTTCCCGATAAACAGGTTGGGAGACTTGAGCAGTTTCCGCCCAAGTCAGAGATCTCCGGGGAGGACCTCATTTAGGAGGACTCCGCATCCATCTTGTGGAGAACTCTGGGCCACGTGGTAGAGCCTAGCAAACTCTGCGCGTGTCTCGGAGCCGACTGATGGTTTGATCACCCATCAAGAGTCTCTCCCCGTCACCGGATGATCCTTGACGTACCCCTGCCCTGCGCACTCGTTGAGAGTCACAGCTCGGACTCTCGTATCAGTTCAGAGAGCTCTCATCGTGTTTGTTTTGCGGAGCCTAGCAAACTCCACTCGTGTGTCTTCGGTGGAGCCTAGCAAACTCCACTTGATTTTGTCTGTAACTGCAACTCAAGCAAGTTTTCCTGCCTGCACCGCGACCATCTACAGTGTAAGTAAAATAATCTTTAATCAATCTCCACGCATCAGTGCCCAATTCTAGTTCGCCGTGCCAACTTTCCCCGGACCACGTGCCCGGGCTGCTGGCCACAGCCCCTCGGCCCCGACATCATTCACCTCAATTTTTTCTGAAAACATCTATCTTTAACTTAGATCCCCTGACAGTATGGCTTAAATTGATGAGTTTACCTCCTGGTTTAAGGAAAAAAAAAAGCCTCGCCTTCACAACATTTATGTCCTGGGACAGCTTTCACATGTGGATTTTCCCAAAATAAAAAACCACACTTTTTATAGCATTGAAGAACATTCTATGGCAAAAAGTTCCAGTTAACCAAAGAGAAACAAGAATGACTTGATTGTAGCCCATGGACTGGCAACATTTTTGGGCAGAATGCCAAAAATACTAGCAGCCCTGACTTGTAAGATCTTGATGTGCCGGGGTGGATGGAGGGAGAGCTGCAAGGGGCCTGATGCTTGTTCTGGCAGTGCAGCCCCAGCACATTCTCTGCCATCTAGCCTGAGGCATGTGTGTCTCTGCTGTAGCATATCAACGTTGCTTCTTCAGTCAATCAGAAGAAGTCCCTAGCGAGAAAATGATATGACTTCTATTCTTGTTTGCATATGTCTCTGTGCTTGTGGTCAACCACCAATTTAATCTTTTTTCCCAGACCTGGATCTTGCAAATGCCTAAATGTTGAGATAACTATTAACCTACAAAGTCCTGTTGATATCAACTGGATTATTTAGCTGAATAAAGTGAAAGAAGTGCTTAAGTATTTGCCAGAACACAATCCTGCCTCAAATGGGACTCTGATATTAAAGCACTGTAATACAAGGAGATTTTTAGCATTTTATATTACAATGTCCAAATTAACAATGTCCCAATAAGTTAAATTTACTCTAAGAGGTTCCAAGACCCATGCTAATAGAAGTCTATCTGCTCATTTGTTTCTTCTTATTCTATAACCCCACAAAAAATACCTATTACTTCATTTTTAATTAAAATATGGCACCCCTATGGCAGAACTTTTCTTCTGACCAAAGTGAAACAAGACTGAATGACTGTAGCCCATCAATACTGCTCTCAATACTGCTCCTTCAGTCAATTAGAAGGGATCAGTAGAAAGAAAAACACATCCCTCTGAAACAATAAAATGAAATGGACCAGGATTGCATTGGTTACCCAAGGCCCAGGCATCTCCTGTCTATGTATGTCCAGGCACTTCAAGAGTGATTCCACATCAAATGAAAATCTCTGTCTAACCAACAGTAATGGGAATATAGATCTCTAAGTATCTATGATACAAGGTAGAAAACAGGGGTGGAATAACGTAGCACTCTCTCCCACTTGGCTCATAAACCAGATTTAAGAATTAAAAACAAATGTAACAACCAACCTATCACTTTCCCACAGCTAAATTCAACTGGAACATCAAATTTCCTATTTATTTCCTGCCATACTTTGTCACAACAGAAAATCAAATGCTGAAAAATGCATATGTGACTGTAGACAAAATAGTATTAATTTGGGAAAAGTTTTTCCTTTTTCATTTAATCAGTTTTCTAACTATACCCCTCCTCCATAAAGCACTGCTTCTGGCCAGCAGTCCCCAAATTTGGCCCAGTCAAAGGATGGCATCAAAACAAAGAACAAACACTAGGTCCACAATTAATATTCACAATATATCTTTAAAAGAAGAAGCAGCCACTCAGTCGCTTTGCAGCTGCAAGATTTGTGGGGGTAGGTCCCTTATTTTCTGCTTATTCTATAAGAACCTAAGACACATTTGGACAGTAACAAAAATAATTGTTATAAAAAAACAGATGGTAAAATATTGACTCTCTCCATATAGAAAACTTGCAGCCTTATTGACAGGACCATCCCTTCAAAACGAACAAAAATTCAGAACATGACTGGTTCTGCACTTTTGATTAAAAGTTATACAGGATCAAATGTTAAGTCCTCTTAAAAGACCCAGAATCTAAAATATTGAGCCAGGACACAGAAATGTTGAAGCTCCTTTGGCAAGAGTCCAATTCCAGGGCTGCAAAATTTGTACATCTCCAAAGAACTGGTCTAATGAAGTGAAGAATAAGGTTTGAAGCCAGGTGATATAATCATTTTAAAGTCTCAAAATCCAATATCAAAAAGATTTCCATTCCACCATAGCACCACAAGTTCATGTGCCAGGAAACAAACATGGATCAAAAGATATTTGCACACTTGAAACCCCTAGACAAGAAATCACAGACCTGAAACTACGAGTTTGACCCACAACAGATGCCCAGAAATAAGGAGATAATACAACTCTTTGTAAATTATATTATGAGTTTTGGACAAGACCATTCCCAATGCACCAGTTCTAGAAAAACATTCATAATGATATTCCCTGACATCACAAGAGATAAGAATTGAGATAATGCGTCTAATATGCTCCCCTGCAAATGAAAAATCTCCAAAATGCTTCTTGGAAAAAGAGTATGGAGACACGGTGCTGATATAACTACCAACTGTGTAATAGTCAATATCTGTAATTCAAACTTTTACAGGGATAATTAAGAACCCAGAAATACAACAGTAGGAGGCATCCCAATCAGAACAGACCCACAGTTCAGAACAGGTTAAGTGCCAGACACCTCACATGGCGTATACCACCTCTAGGCACATAATTACCCTTACACTGCCTGGGCTGCAGGGAATCATACAGAGTAAGCCACTAACTAAACTGTTGCAGAGATGAGGAGAGTAAACGGTAAACCTGTTCAGAGCAAGGAACACTGAGCTTAATGAAAATGTACTTCCCTCAGGGAGTAGTGAGAGAAGAGAACAGGAGAGTGTGTGAGAAAGAGAAAGATGCAAATAGCCAAGTAGTGGAAGCTCCCCCCCCCTGATCCTCCCCACTTCTGTGCAAGTACATTTCAGTTTGAAGTGTCTACCTGAAAGACCCAAATAACTGCTGGGAGGCTAAAACCCTCTTGCCTTTCCAGTTACTAGGGAAAGAAAACAAAATTTGCTGCCCCCCAAGTGCTCCACCAGTCTGCTAACTTGCTTCTGGAAGTGGCTAGCTCCTAATATCCCAAGAGATGATACTAACCCTCCGCATCAAAGCCACACACCTTCCTGATCA